CACAAAAATATGTAATCTTAACAATTGCTCACCAAACCTATGATAACTGAACTCTTTTAAGAGTCTGAGAATTTTCAAATAATAAGCAAGATTTCAAATTCCTGTGTCAGTAAACTGTAAAGGACATATATATCAAAAAGCAAAGCCCAGCCATGAATTGTGTGGCTGATCCCACACCCTGAAGCCCTGCTTGTTCAGAATTAATTCCGTTCTGTAAAGACAGCAGAATGTGGGCAAGATTTTAATTCATAATAAGTTTTGTGGATTTACTGAAAATATAAACAGCCTCAGGGAGAGAGTCTAAATTTGTCATGACTAATGCTCCAGGATCACAGTCCTATAAAGTGTGGACTGTGTTAGTGATGTTTATTAGTGATGTTTGATTCTCCCTCAGTGAGGTCATAGAGTAACCAAGAAGCCAAGGGTGGGAACCACAGACGGGAGGGGAAGAGCTTCATGAACCCGTTGGGTATTAGCACATGTCACGTGATATTTAGGGCCTCTCAGCATCCAGGTCCCCTTTCCTTCATAAAAATACCAGTTTCCTTACAGAAATTTTCTTCTTTCCCACCCTTCCAGGAAAAGAAATATTTACAGGGCACATGACCCAGGCCTGTGGAGGAATAGTGGTGGGGTCATATGTGGATGAAACCTTACGCTCTGCCCAGCATGAACTCACAAACAACAGCTAAAACACAAGATGTCCTCGCACTTGGGGGTCTAAGCCCAAGGGCTCATGAAGCTCTCTAGCCCAGAGGTTTTAAATTGAAAGTGACAGCAATTAGCCATGATGTGGTGGCTCATACATGTAACCAGCAGTTGGGAGGCTGAGGCAGGAGGTTTTCTCTGAGTTCCAGGCCCGAGTTGGCTACACAGTTTAGCCTGGGCTAGAAAGTGAGACCTATTTCAAAAAAGGAAGAGAAAGAGGAGGAGAAGGAAGAGGAGGAGGAGGAGGAGAAGGAGAAAGAGGAGGAGGAAGAAGAAGAGGAAGAGGAGGAGAAGGAGGAGGAGGGAGAGAAGGAAGAGGAGGAGGAAGAAAGGAACAGAGGGAACAGGAAGAGGGAAGGAGGAGGAGGAGGAGGAGGAGGCATAATAAAAGACAGTGACAGTAACTCACCTGAGACTAGATATGATGATTAATCCTCACTGTTAACCTGACTGGATTTGGAATCACCTAGAAGATACACATCTTCAGTTGTCCAAGAGGGTATTTGCAGAGAAAGAGAAGACCCTCCCTGCATGTGAGTGGTTCTATCCCATGGGCTTGGGTACTGGGCTGAATAAAAAGGAAACCAGGAGCTGAGCACCAGCTTTCCTCTCTCTGCTTCCTGGCCATGGATACAATGTGACTAGTCACCTCTTGCTCCTGCTGCCATACCAGCCCCTTCATGACAGACCCTACTGCAAACTGGTGAGCCCCAGCAAATTCTTCCTTCCTTCCTTAAGTTGCCTTTCATCATGTACTTTGTCACAGCAATAAGGAAAGTAACTAACATAGCAGCTTTGACCTAAAGCTACGTCATGTACTTCCAGGGTCACCTAGACATTGTTGGCCTCTGGTTCTCAAGGCCTCATTTTGACTTCCTCTCCATCACTATACACAATCTTCACCAGGCTGAAGGAAGCTGTGAGCATTGGGAGTTCTCCTAACTGCAGAACCTCAGCATGAGGTCCCCGGACAGAACTTGACGGGCCCAACTCAGGAACTTGGGTCAAACATACACCCTCTGGACCTCATATGGCAATTAAGGAGGGTCAAGCGCCTTTCAGCTCTTGTAGCTAATGAAAGAAAATGTTCAACATCCACAAGGAGGAACAGAAAACCCAGGAGCATTGTGGGACAGTGTCTATAACTAGAGTTTCCAGGCAGAATGCTTCAGGCTGCAACTGACAGAACCAAGGTGTAAAAGTCAAAGATTTGGTGGGGGCATTTGTTGGTGTAACCAAAGGACTATCACGACAGCTACTGGGAGTTTCCAGGCTCATGTCTTCCTGGTTTTGCTGTCAAGGAGGAATCAGCCCTCACTTCCAATGAAGGATGAGTTCTGACTGATCCTGCTTTGATGAAAATGTTGGCCTCCTGGGCCAGTCCAATTCGTCTCAGAGAAGTGAGTTGCCATGGTCGGTCCAGTCTGAGTCAGGTGTTCACTCCAAAATCAGGAGGAAGGATCAAATGAACAAGGGCATTGCTCACTCTGATGGAACGACTTGTTCAAAGTGGGAAGAGTTCCCCTAAACCACAACTCCATCATTTGTAGTTCTGAGTGTAACTGATGCTTTTTTAAAGAATTTTTTTAATTCTATGTACATCAGTGTTTTGCCTGCATATATATAAGTGCACCCATGTCACAGAATGCCCTCGGAGGCCAGGAGAAAGTGTCAAATCCCCAGGAGCTGGAGTTAAGATCAGTTGTTAGCTGCTGTGTGGGTGCTGGGAATCAAAACCTGGGTCTTCTGCAAGAGCAGTTAGTGCTTCTTAACTTCTGAGCCATCTCTCCAGTCCCAGATTTATTTTAAATTGTGTATGTGTGTGTGTGTGTGTGTGTGTGTATGTGTGTCTGTGTGTCGTGTGTGTATAAATGTGGATGCAGTGCCCATGGAGGCTAGAAAAAGGTGCCAGATCCCCTGGAGTTATAGGCAGTTGTGGGCCATCCAACATGGGTGTTGAGAACCAAACTCAGGCCCTCTGTAAGAGCAGCAAGCATTCTTAACCCCTGAGCCATCTTTCCAACCCCAATCCCATCATTTTATAAAGTTCCGAGTAACAGTACATGACTCCCTAGCAACATGACTTAGGGAAAAATTAATTTATATTCATTGAACCCTTTTTCTATGATTCATAAACAAAATAACGTGGCTAGTTTCCAAGACTCCACCTCCAGACACTAACCCCAGGCCCTAGGGACGGAGTGGGAGTCACAAATCTTCTTTTTACTATCTGAGCTGTATGCTGATGATCCCTATACCATACCTCAGGAATGGATGGAATGACTTGTCTTTGCCTAGATATACGTGACTGGGGTGATCTAAGATCTGTTGTTCTGCTTAGGGAAAGGCCAGAAAAGGGAGAGACTTGGAACTGAAGGGGAGAGTCACACAGCCAGGTCAGCCCTTGGTCAGGGATGATGAGTGAGGTCGCTTACTATATGATGATGGAAGGTTCTGTTCTACTCACGGAGGCCAGGGCAGAAGCAAGGGAAACACACAAAGGCCTTCAATTGCCCAAATGCTCTCATCCTCAACAGTCCCAGGCCTTCTAATACCTCCAAATGTATGTTTCCCTGACCTTTTGTTGAAACAATGAATAAAGCCAGGTGGCAGGGGAACTCAGGTAAGGTTTCTTCCTAACACAAGCACAGGATTATATTAAATAGCTATAGAGCAGGCAGTAAGATGACTAGGTAGGTAGAGATGGTTGCATGTAGGCTTGAAGACCTGAGTTCAATCCCCAGATCTCACAAGGTGGCAGGAGAGACAACCCCCAAGAGTTGTTCTCTGACCACACATGCATGCCATGGCACTCAAATAGCAATATAAACACACACACACACACACACACACACACACACACACACACACCAAATTAGAGAAATAATTTTAAAAATCTAGAACCTAGGGCTGGAGAAATGGCTCATCAGTTAAGAGCCCTGACTGTTCTTGCAGAGAACTCAGAGTCGATTCGCAGCACCCATATGGCAGCTAACAACCGTCTGTAACTCCAGTTCCAGGGGATTAGACACCTTCTTCTGACCTCCACGGGCATTGCACCACATATGGTGCACTTACACACATGCAGACAATACACTCATATACATAAAAAAATTAAAATAAAATAAATAATTTTTTTAAATCTAGAACCTTGGGGAAAAGACAAGTGACTCGTTTTCTCCACTTTGTTTTGACTCAGTAGGTTATGCTTAGTAATAAAGTAAAGAAGTAGTTTTACTAACGACATACCAGGAGCCCTTGCCCAAACCTGGAGCTATGGGAATCAGCTTGAACCCAACACAAAATCTCCTGCAGAGAAACAGGTTCCTTTCTCTGTGGAGGAGAGCCCACTGACGTAGATCTGTGATGCCTGTCAATCAGGGCTATGAGCCCCTACCTCTCCTTTTCTCTTGTGAATATTTTTTAAATGTTATCTTATCACTCACTTATTATAATATTTTCATATCTGATTCCATGTTATTGAAATTGAAAAATGAATATTTCACGTAATTTTAAAAGAATAGCATATTAAATTGATATACTACATTCTGTTTTAAGCACTAGGAGAAGCTAGGTATCCCTTGAGAAAAATAAAAGATACTCTTAAGATATTGCCTGAAATACATTATCCAGAAATCCTTCCTAAGACAGTGTATCTATGTACACTGAGTGCAAGCACCTGAGCACAGAGGTGTTACATCCCCTGGAACTGGAGTTATTGGTGGCTGAGTGCTAGGAACCAAACACTGGTCCTCTGCAAGAGCAATACATGCTCTTAACGACTGAGTCATCTCTCCAGCCTCTGGCTTTTCCCTATTTACATTTTTTTCAGTGTTTAAATTTTCTATTAAAAATGAGCATTACTCAATCGCTCAGTGATTTAGAAAGCTAACTCCTCTGTGTCTAAGCCTCATCATCTGTAAACCACAGTCATAACAACTCTTAACTTGTAAGAGTGTAAGGGTTGTTATGAGGATTAAATGTGTATCAATTTATAAAATACTAATGCTGTGTCTGGCAAATGTTAACACAATATTATTGCTTTATAATCAAGACTCTAAAAAACTAAATCTCTCATTTTTCGCCTGGTCCGGGAGAGTGAGCCTTTGCGGCCGCCTAGGTTTCCGAGTGGAGGAAGGTGAGCCTGTGGAGTGCGGAACATCACCAGAGCAGCAGAGGGAGCCAAGTCCGATTACCAGAAGGAAAGGTCTAGCATCGGCAGCAATCCAGGTCTGTGAGTCTTCATTGCTGTGAGCTGCACTCTCCTAACTGCTGTTCCAAGAGAAGCCATGATGCATCATGCTCAGGATAGCCAGCGCTGCAATCTCCCAGAGAGGGAGGTCCTCAGTCTCAAAGGGAGGCAAGGGACGGGGATCGTGCCCCGGGTCCCCATAGCCGAGGAAGCAGAAGCCACTGCCACGGCAGCTGTGAAGGTGTCTGGTGAGGGGACACCTAGCTCTCCCGAGAGTTCTCAGAGAGCCTCCACTCCACCCACTGATTTCATGGGCTCCATTTCTGGGGGACCCTCTGATGAGGCCTCTGGAAACCAAGGAGAACAGAAAGAGGAACCTGTGCCCCCTGTGCTTGATGTATTAAGACCAAAGATATTTGACTTGGTATGGTTTCTGCTCCTCAAGTTTCAAAGGAAGGAGCTGACCACCAAGGCAGAAATGCTGGAAAGGGTCATCAGCAATCCTGGAGAGCACTACCCTTTGCTCTTTAGTGAGGCCTCTGAGTGCATGGAGGTGATATTTGGCATTGACATGATAAAACTGAACCCCTTTGTACACTCCTATGTTCTTGTCAGGTCCCTGGGGCTCACCTATGATGGAATGATGCACGGTACTCAGGGCATACCCAAGACAGACCTCATAATAACGGCCCTGTTTCTCATCTTCATAGAGGGCAACCGTATTACTGAGGAGACATTCTGGAGTGTGTTTGATAAATTAGGCTTCTATGCTGGGAGGGATCATTTTATGTTTGGGGAGCCCAGGAAACTCTTCACTGAGGATTTTGTACAGGAAGGGTACCTGGAGTACAGGCCGATACCCAACACTGATCCTGCTCAGCATGCGTTCCTGTGGGGCCCAAGGGCCCACGCTGAAACCACTAAAATGAAAGTCCTGGAATACTTTGCCAGAGCTACTAAGAGAGATCCCCAATCCTACCCCGAGAGGTATGCAGAGGCTCTGAGAGATGAGGGAGAGAGGGCCTAGTCCAGAATTGCCTAACACATACTAATGCTGCTCTGACCATTGCAAGCTTCGTGCACTAGCAGTTTCCAAACAACCGAAGTTCAGTCAGAGTCAGCAGCATAATGGGCAAGACTTGGTAGGAGTACAGCGTGAACTTTGCCATTCTCTCTGTTCTGTTTTGGCGACTCAGGGATATGTCTTTGTTATATTTTAAAATGTTACTACTTTTACCAGAAAGTTCGTAATGTTCAGGGTTTTTCCGTATACAGATTCCATTAATAATGCATCTATTACTGTTTGTCCAGGTTAGGAGTTTTGTTACTCTAAAAACATTAGAATGTGCTCTGTCTAATTGGAATGTATCAGATGAGACCACGCATTTGAGTTGTATTTTCCTGTGCAAT